CGCAACAAACGAAATTTATTTATTAACCAAAGGGACAAGTTATTTCGCAAGAATAACATATGAAATTGTATAATTTTCACGTTAATAAGTTCCAACGTAGAAATTCGCATAATTTCACCGAATGCAAATGGAAAATGTAAATTTCGAGCTTTATCGGTGCACGTGGAAAGTTTTTCTTGTTTTTCAACACAATAACAAGAGAGTTCTTTCAGCGTTCAATGCCTCTCTCTCCGTGCATTTTCAACAAGCTAATTCTTTCTGGATCACAGTTTTACTATTGGAAAAAGCATTATCCGCTTTGTTACAGTGTTGCACAAACGGGCTGCCTCTTCTGCAAAATTCGAACGGCTGATACTCGAACTTGCATTTATCGCTTCTACTCTCGGTGAATTTAAATCGCAGAGATTGATACGTGAGTTTCGGTTACTCATGTGCGTTCTAACGAACGATAGTAGGTTTTTCTTTGATTTCATGAATTCTGGGCTCTTTGTTGAATCGTATACTTTTTTCTCCTGGAATTTTAAGAAATGGAAAGAAAAAATAATTTACGTTTATTGTATGTTGTACATAGGAATTTTCAGAATTAATGATCGTTGTTATTACTAGAATTACGAAAATTCGGAATTCTTTATTGGATTATGGGAGTTATTGGTTGTTGAATAATTAATAATCCTTATTTTAAACTATAAACTTTTATTGGACACAAGGAAGGTTCGCTTTTCTACTTGATGGTAAGAGCACTGTCTACGGACTGAGAATGCTCCTACGCAACGCCCTAATGTTGTCTACGACCCCGCTGGAGACCGAAGGGCCTTTTGTCACGTATCATAAACATTTAGATCTTTATTAAACAGAGGTACAAAAGTAATATATACTTCCTAGTAAGGCGTTAGATTCATTTTTGTTATATCTAACTGACTGATAAATCTAACATTCTTCGTAGATATTTCTACTCGAACATAATCTCTTTTCACAGTAGACTCAAGAAATGTAGCATCTCTGCTTCTTATTACTGTTTTGCAGTTAGGTATTATGAATCTGTAACCTTTGGTATTGTCACAGTATCCAATAAAAATCATTTTGTGTGCCTTAGGATTCCGACGGAAAAGACTAGGTTGCTAATTAGAGGATAGGTATAACGGGTGGTAAAAAATGTGTTGCGCTGCCGTTCGGTACAAGTTTTACTTAGGCTCGTCTAACGGTCCCGTTGATCCTCTGCGTCGAGGCTCGGTCAGGGCTGTTTTATGATTTTTTGGGAACCGTTGTTCCGTACGGAACAATATCGACAATGAAATTTTCACCTATGACTAATCACATTTCATTTATAAATGAAAAATTTGTAAGAAATGCGAGATTCCGGCGGCGAAGTGGTGGCCTGGACTTTGTCACACAGGAAGAGAAAACGCGCGGGTACCTAAGCCCTTTCCCCGGAAAGTCAAACGAGGGGGCTCCGACGGTTTTTCGGAGCAACGTGGGATACGACGCGGAAAGGACACTCTGAAAATAGCCGTTGAGCGAGACGGACGCCGGAATCCTTAACAGTCGCTTAGGAATATAGAATAAATACGTTTTTGGATACCACACTATCCTGAGTTAAATTCTTTTTCTCAAGCGGTGCTTACAAATTTGTGAATGTTAACAGAAATTTATATTTCACAAAATTCACTTTGTTGGCAAAGTTAAACTAGCCAGCGAGTTTCGAACATTTTTTTGGTACATTCTTGGCCGAGGTTTCCGGTCCTTAATTGTATACATTCCTGCGAATTCGACTGCCTCGGCACGCGAGGCATATTTACATTCGCTCCTGAAAAATCCTGCGTCGCGTCGCGGCTCGTACTATAATATCAACACAGATCGAAAGGTTAGGCAAGTTGATACTAATCTAATTTTATCATGAAAATGTGAAATATTCTGTAGGAGGTGGTCTAATGAACTTTACTCAAATCAGGATGCCGTGCAAAGTAGTTTATTTCGGACTCATCGGCGTCCGTCTATTTACCGAAGCTAAGAACCGACTCCCATCGAAATGGCAAAGATATCGCTGGGCCGAACCGATGGGTACTCGGGTCTGGTGTTTGTCACTCGCCAAGAGGCGCAGGCCAAGCCATAAACCATCCCAAAATGCCTACAATTCATAAATATTTTATCATGAAAATATGAAATATTCAGACCATTAAATTGAACGAGATGCAACCTTTATAACATATTTCACTGTACCACAATAATAATAAAATTCACAAACCAACCACAACAGAGAAATCACCGAAATCCCCAAATTTTTAAAAAACAATTTTTCATTTCATCGCGTAAATATCTGCACAACGTAATACAGTAGTACTGAAATCAGCGAGAGATGTAATTTATCACGCTCAATTACTCTTAATATAAATCCGGCCCCGTTTATTTTCACTTTTAATGCAGCTTGACGCCGGGAGGAGGTTGAAAATGCAGCACATTATTAGATCGACTCGTTTATCACAGAAATTGATCTCTTATCATTCCTCCCCCTTTCGCGTATTATTCCCCTAAAACCTTTCAATTTTTCCCTCCAGCGGACAAAAAGCGTTCCTCGATTATGTTTCGGCCTAGCCCGGCGGTTTTCCCGCGGCGTCGATCAATAATGGCGATAATTGAACGGGCGACGCGTAATTGGGACAGCCAGGACTCTCCTCTGAACGAACGTAAAAGTGTTTTTGGCCATGGGCTCGCATTCACTGCGCGCCTCGGCGCGAAAGTTTGCCTCCATAGGCGGAATACCAAATGAGAGTTTCACCTTCTAGCGGCGGAAGTGCACGTCCACTTTCACAGCTACTTCCGAAACAAATATTCCGGGTGTAATTCTCCTCGTCACAAGTTGCACTCGTGTTCGATGTTCGATAATTATTTGGACTTTGAAAAATTTCGAACTTATCTTCTTCCACGTGTCTTCCAAGTATCTTGGGCTTAGATGTTGTTTACAAATTTTTATGTCGATTGGGTAATTATGTATTTCAGCTGATCGTGCTTTAATGTAACTTTTTAAACGACTGAGAAATATGAGTAACGCTAAATCGTGGAAACCTTGGGTACCATAATGTGACTTCAGCGATCGTTAGTTAATCTTTAAATGGAGAAAGGTATAATTCGTTTCCATAATTGTCCAGCTAATCGTTTTTGGTGCACGGCTGTTTTCAGAGAATTTCATTCTATATTTAAAATTCTCAAATGATCATTTTTTAAATTACCGAATCTCAGGTACTGTTTGATTCACGTTCATTCGTCGAATGAAACGCGTACTTTGATATGAAAAAATTCACGTCGAGCAGTAATATTTACCGAATTTCGTGTTCGATTCTTTATTCTTATGAACAAACGAAAAACCAGTAGAATCAGCTACATATTGTATGAAATGGTTTTTAATTTGTGTTTGTGAAACGGACATCGATAATTGATATTATCGAAATTCTCTCAAACTTGCCTTAGTACCATACTTTTTTTTTTATTATACTGCAAAGTATTCTTTGTTTACTTTACTCAAAGCAAACTCGTATGTTGTTTCTCCTTACAAGATGCAATCTGTAACGGTTCACCTTGATTCTGTCGTGGTACACAATTCATTCTATCGCGCTAGCTTGTTACGAAACGGATGCCGTAAGCGATAACACGTGCAACGACGACAATTAAACAAAATTACAGAATATATCGTATTGAAAATTCTGCAACAGTCACATCAACTTCTACGTGGTTGCAGAGTCGGCAAGGACAAACTAATCATTTTCAAATACTTCGTCTATTCAAACACCATTCGTCATCACCTAATCCTCCATCTTTCAAAGAACGTTTCACAAACTGCATCGTGTCATACAAAGTATTAACAAGTTTGACTAATATGGGAAATTAAGGAAATGTCAGGAAGAACGGTGATTTACACTGTAAATAAATATATGTTAAAGATACAGCTAAGTATAAAATTAAAGACACGTAACCTTGCAGGACAATAATTCCATTCACCCAAGTCTTCTATCATAATTTCACAGCAGAACAGAAAAACACCACTGAAGTAGCTCAAACATTATCAAATCTTAAAAAACAAAACAGTAAACAAATCTTTATTTATTATCAAACGTAAACAGTTCCCTGCATCTTTAACAAGACAAAGAAAAAAGCAGTAACATGGAGATAAGAGACAATTAAAAAAAGAAAACAAAGTTAGGTTAGTATAGCTCTAAGGTACAAAACCTACACTGAATTTCTCCCAACTTCCCCTATTGTTCTACTCTCCCTCTTTCCGCCAGCACTTGCGCACTTCTCCAATATCCCATTGCCGTACATCCCTCGCAACCATACACCCACAATTGTCCATCTTAACCTAAACAACTCAGTTTGAACATACTCGAAGCTAAACAACGTGAACCAAACCGACACATTCACCGTGACGCAGCCCTACATACACCTACCACCTAATTCTCCTTCGATAATTGACGACACCACACTAACTACCGTTAAAAATCAACGATACCTAACGAGGAACACCTCCTGCAACAAGAACCGTGCATACGTTATCCGTGAAATCGTATGCAAGCGTCATCATCGATTTCCGTCTGGCGCCGCTCCACTTTCGCGCGTGCGCGAAAAACCACGTATCGACAAACTCGCAATTTGTTCGCGCCGAATCTTCCGGCGTGTTGCGACACCGTTACCGATTCCACCTCCGTAGACAATCATGCCATTGAACCAGGGGGGAGAGAGATCGTCGTTCCTCCTCCTCCCCTCCACTGTTATCGTTCTTTCCGATGATTGATTCAGCTACGCGACAATCGTGACGGCCGACTCTGTGATGCCAGCTCGAGGGGAAATATCGCGCTCCAATTCGTCATCGGCTCGACTTTTCTCAAAGCAGCAACGCGACCATAATCGACCAGCGCGGCGGCGCGTCTATCGTGTGTTGTCGCGAGCGTACACGTCAGAGAGGCCAGGCCGGCAATCAGACGAGCCGCGTGCGACGGCATGCCCCTCTTTAGGGATTCTAAGCTCGCCCAAGTGGTACGTGCTGATCGAGAGCGAAGTTTCCCTGTGACCGGCTGGCACGCGGACCGTTCGCTAGTTTCGTCCAGGCGGTCGAGTGAAGTCGACCCAAACGGCAGTAGCAGCAGTGACAAGTCTTCCCGCTGGAAGACCACTGGACCAGCCGGTAGAATGATGAAGAGTTCAACAGCGTGGACAGTGTTCTGCCTCTCCGTTCTGACCATTCTTCTGCTGGTTCAGTTCATCATGGCAGCGCAGAACCAGCCGTTCGTCATCAGCAACACACTCGGTCAAGGTACCTCGAAGGACTACTTCATAGGACCGTGTCTGGTGAACGACAATCAAACGTGTCCCGACAAAGAAGTGACGTTCTTTTTGTACACGAAGAGGAATCAAAAGGACGGTCAGCAGGTTCTGGTGGACGAGACTGGCTCGAACCTAGGTCAGACGCATTTCGTACCGTCGAATCCGACGAAGATCGTCGTGCACGGCTACGACTCCGACATGGAGCTGTCCTACCTGGTGGACGTGCGAAAGGCCTACCTGGAGATCTACGATTACAACGTGATAGCCGTGGACTGGCATCGACTGGCCACCGCGCCGTGCTACCCTATCGTTGTGAGAAACGTGCCACACGTGGGTGACTGTTTGGCCCAACTGGTGCAGAGGCTGAGAGACGCAGGCACGCAGGACATACACGTGATCGGGTTCAGTTTAGGCGCTCACGTACCTGCGTTCGCGGCGAACTCTCTGCGACCGTACAAGATGACGAGGATCACCGGTCTAGATCCAGCTATGCCGCTGTTCGTCACCGTGGACAAGGACCAGAAGTTGGACGCTGGAGACGCGAATTTTGTGGATGTGTTTCACACGAACGCGTTCATCCAGGGCAAAGTGGAGATGAGCGGGCACATAGACTTTTACATGAACGGCGGGATCAATCAGCCAGGCTGCTGGGAGACGTGGAAACCGTTCGAGTGTGATCATCATAGATCAGTGATGTATTTCGCGGAGTCGATCAACAGTACCGTAGGATTCTGGGGTTGGCAATGCGGGGGATTCGCGTCTTATCTGTTGGGTCTGTGTCCGCCCAGGTATCCAGCGGTTTTGGCTGGCGACAAGGTGGACCAGAGGAGGAGGGGCTTCTTTCTAGTGAAAACGAACGCTCATAGTCCGTACGCGTTGGGAAATTTCACCGTGAATCGGATGGACATGTACGTGTAAGCTCTGACCGGAAGCAGACTCTAGTGATGTTGGTTCTTCGGGGAGAATTCTCGTTGGGAGCGTGAGAGTTTGCTGAAAAACGCGTTTTGTGTCAAGGTCAGGAGATCTCGAGCACCTGGCGCTAATCGATAACGTGCTCGACGTTGAGAAAGAAGCGGAGCTAACCAGCTGGCTGCACGCTCGTTTAGAAGGAAATTCCTTATCGATTGTAAGCGCATGAAGTGGATAACAGCGAACGATTTGTCGTGTTCTTGGGAAACGTGGTGAAGTTATACAGTTCATATGACCTTTTTTACGTTGAACTTGTGTCTTTTTGGGGGTAATGGGAGGGACTTTGTTTGGGTGCTTAAGGACGGGAAGAAAATTGACGCGTGAAGTGTGTTAATTTTTGTTGTTACACGATGTGTTAGGTTTGTTGGTTTTGTTTAGGTTTGGGTGACGCACATAAAACTGGCCTCGAATGCAAAATTCAGCGTTACAGTTATATTTCGTACTGAGATAAAAAGTTGGTGAACGTATAAATTGTTAAAATTGAAGACTTTTTAAAAATATCGTTCATTGGTTATACTAACATTTATCGTACTGTCACTCGTTCATCGTTCGTTTATTATACTATTGTAAGTGTAATTGAATAACCAAATCAACCTGTAAAACTGTATTTCGCTTTTGGAACCGGTTTTACGTACGCCACCCGGTATTTCGCTTGGCCGAACAGATTTCCAGCACTATTTTTCAGAGATAAGAGGCTTGGAGGTTTGATAAAGATTGTGATTATCTTCTTACGTAAACTCCTTACGTAATTACGGACTTTTAGGTAGATCTCTGCACGATATTTATAATGCATTTTGTTTGTATTCAATAAGCCTGTAAGGTATAGTAAGTACTGCTATAAGGCTGCACAAATAAGGATGATGTACTGAGTGATTAGGGGAAAACTTAAAAATCGCAAGGTAAATTTAAAAAAAAATTTTAATTAAACACATTTTACTGATAATTGAAAATAAATACTTATATCTGTTTTCTTCTCTTACGAGTTTTTGATAAAGACTCGATTATTTCGAAATTCTCTATTATCTTATCTTGTATTTTAATTTCTGCATTTGCATTATTCGTTGGCTTTTTGCCTGTAGTACTTGCTTCGAAAACGTTCTTTGTTTTTTAATTACAATGTATCTTCTACTTTTGCTTTTTATCTTTCAATTTTATCTATCCACTAGAAACTGTAAAAGTTATTGTCAATATGGTACAGTTTGAATTTTATACTTATTTATTTAACGTTTCCTTTTTCCTTAACGAATTTCATTAATTTCGTTTATTTCATTAAACAAGGTAAATAACATCGTTAATGTTTTTGTCAACAATGGTATTGACACTTCTGTCGCGCATTATTAACATTAAATTTAACGATCATACGGTATAAGTGTTATTTATTTATTTATTTATTCGATTAAGAATAGACGTGTATCAAAAGTTACATTAATTTAAATAGTAATATATGTTTAACGTAAAATCTTTCCATATGTCTTCCAAATGATACGACATATGGTGTACAATGTGCATTTTACAACTGTCTCAGGAAGAACAAGTTCTAGCAATATTTGTACATCGACATATGGACGTTATTGATCGTTTTATTAAAACGCCATAAATCGACGATTACGAAAAAGATAAGAGTAAGGAAATTAGAAAAAGAACAATTTTCTCAAGGACTTGTTTACATATTTCTACGATAAGAAATCGATCTAATCAGAATCAGAATCTTTTCGATTATCAGACTAATATTCCATTTTCTCTCAATATCAAATTTTCAATACTCGTTTCTAATATATTTCATTTGTATCGAACAGTGATCCTATTAAAATCCAAAGCTTCTTCAAATGTTTAACAATACAAGTGTACATATACTCCAATTATAAGACACTTTAATTAAAGCTATTAAATATTGAAGATAATTTGTGTTCCGTACGGAACAACGGTTCCCAAAAAAACCATAAAACGGCCCTGCCCGAGCCTCGACGCAGAGGATTAACGGGACCGTCAGACGAGCGTACCCCCGTTTACCGAACGACAACTTAGCACATTTTTACTATCCATTGTACCAATTTTCTAATTAGCAAACTAGTCTTCTCCTTCTCCGATGTCCGATTTCCTCTCCTACTGGAATTTTCCAAAACGCTAGCCGCCTCGGACTTCCATCCCCACTTTTACCCTTTCCCTATCCTCTCAATCACCGAATTTCCATCGTTTCAATATTCTACCCCCAGATTTTAACTCCGCCTACACCAACTCTAATTTTCTGCACTCCTCCAATTTGTCAGTCAGAGTCTTCCTCAGAACACCAAACCGTACATTCCAAAAAACGAGACTTGTAGTTTACCAGCAAATTAAATAAACTTGTACTCCGGATTCTCGTTAGTTCTCAATATAAGACATTCTATTCGTCGTGATCCAAGTTCCGTGATCGTGGACCGATACGACACCACAATTTGTACAAGTCACATTGATAACGATAAGATTTAATTGTACTCCGGATTCTCGTTAGTTCTCAATATAAGACATTCTATTCGTCGTGATCCAAGTCCCGTGATCGTGGACCGATACGACACCACAATTTGTACAAGTCACATTGATAACGATAAGATTTAAGTAATGTTAGATATTTATTTAAACGAGATTACTGGCTTATGTAGATTGTAAGCAATTTTTTCAACGATTCTTGTGAAATTCTGAAAATATTTAGGCTTATAAGAGGAACTTATTACTTGAAAGAAAAAGCATAATGCGAAGACCTTAGGTCGTCTAAAGGTGTAGAAGCCCCGGCGTATGATCTTGTTAGTTTCTTTAAAGCCGACTCTAAGGCGAAAAGGTCCGTCGTGCTCTATAAGTCACCAGAGAAACGTTTTAACAGCCAAAGTCTCTGCGAGAGGCTTCGATTAATTTTATCGTCTTCTCACCGGCGTTAAATTTCCTCAAGATCAGGGATCGTATTATGTTTATTAATGTCTTCTCACGCTGTCTTCGCGTTTCAGGGATAACTTCGCGACAATAGCAATCTTTCGCAGGGATAAACTTTTACATCGTGTTCGCTATATTTTCTGTGAATTTTATTTTCACGAAAACTGCGTCGAATAAGAATAATTTCAGGTTATGAATAAAAATGAAAAATGATATTATTAGAAGTCTAGGATAGAAGATAGGATATCTGATTGAACAAGGAAATTTGTAAGCAATTTATTTCTGCAATATAAGTAAATCTTGACATAACGTGTGAATTATTCTTAAAAATCAAATATTGTCAAATATTCTTAAGCAGAATTACAGTTTGCAATAATAAAAGAGTAATTATTGAATTTATCAATTTATTGTGTAATTCATTTTCTTGCAAATCCTCAACTGCTGAATTTCTTTGCAATAAAAGTTACGTGTACGTGCATATCTTTGCTGTCATTGGCAATTCAACGTTGTTGACCTATTAACCTGACCTACTTAGAGACACCTATCTGCTGAATGTAGTTAAATGTTACAATTTTCCGTTCCAATTTTTAAATTTTTCCTTTTTTATTCTAGCATTTAACACACACTCAACGGTGAAATTAAAAATAGGGAAATTCACCGAGAAATAAATAATGAGTTTACTTAAAGAGAGAGAGAGAAGGATTCTCAAATGACAATAAATCTCACTTTGTGAAATATTCTCCAAACGATCTTTCAAGAAGAAATTATGCAATTTATTTTCATAACATGAAGAATTTTTATAATGGTTAAAAATTGTTAAAGTAACGCAGCAACTATATAATTCTCTTTCCAACCACAATGTTATTTTTTCAGACAACTCTATTCGAAGTTGTACAACTTTTCCCTCTAGTATGTCCCAAACAATACAATTCATACTGTCAAAACATTCAAATTGCATCATCACCAATTCGAATATTAAACAAATGGAAAGCACGTTTTGGGAGCTGGATTGTATCCAAACAATTCGTTAGTAACTAACGAGGCCCTCGTTAGTCGGCACGTGATGCCAAAGGCTGTAAGACCAGAAATAAAAAAAAATTCCGGACATCAGCTGATTCGTTGAAAAATTCGATTGTTTGGATTTGCATAACGGGTGGAGCACTTTTAGTTCGTTTAAATTTTTAGAAATTCATCGTATTATCCGTCCTGTGCAAACAACACTTTGCTGTACGATCGATCGAATTATTACAAATATTCCTCTGATAAATTCTGAATTTTTAAACAGCGAAATATTGTCTAATTAAAAAGTGTCGATCAATTGTATTTTACAGATATTTACGGAACTATAGTCTTTCGTTATTTCATTACTGTATTATACTTTTCTTTCAATTTGGAAACCGGTAATGCGATTTCCAGAGAAGCAAAGTGACGATGCGTATTTTATTTCAAATAACTCTCGGAGTCGTTCTTTTCGATACGCATTTCCAAATCGAGGAGAACGCATTTACATGGAGATATCTCCGAATATTTTCTCCCTTGGAATACACGACTGGTTCGATCGAAAATATGCTTGCAACGAAACGTTCCCAGGCACACTCGGTGCTGCATTTTACGTCCGAAATTTGTATCGAGGAAAATACTGTATCGGATTAAAAAAGCTCGAAAGGAATGCAACGCGTGGTTTGGAATTAGAAGGTTGTATAATACATCGCTGGTAAAAATATCAGTTTGAACGTCGGAAATTGTGTAACGCGGTATTCAAATGTATGTAAATGTCGGGAAGGCTGGAAATCGTGGAATTCATTGTGGAAAGTGAGTAAAAGTACATACTACAGCACAGTTACCTAGAAAATCCAGCAACGTGATAGAAATCGCGTAACGCGTGACATTTTTTTCTTCTTCGTGGAAGGAATATCTAATTCGCGAATTTTTTGAGTAGCAATCAATTTCTGGTACTTAACGATGTTTCTCTTTAAAATGAAATCTAATTGGCGAAGTTTCTAAGTAAAAAAAAAAATCAGCGAATAATCTCATCTTTGAGTAAC